GTTTCAGAATATTCCACCTGACTGGTCACCAAATTAACAGGCCAAGTTTGTTTCCTGGGAAGTCTTTAAACAGAAGCACTTACTTTGACTTTTGTGAGAGGAAGAGACTCCTAAATGCCACAAGTAGTATTCTGGTTTCCTAGTATTAGTGGAATAAAACCCCTTTAGAATAAAGGGGTTTAGAAAAATTGAGTTTTCATTTGAAGATGATGTCATGAGTACCTTAAAACTGGAGATAAACATCTTGCCTTACATCTTACTTGTAATCCAAAAAGATCATCATTTCTCACCATTAGCAGGGTTGCCATTTTTCTAATTTTAGGTGACGTCAGCTTTTGGAACAGAACTAATTTATCCAGGAAAAAAAAAAAAAAAAAGATTGCTTGTTTTACAGCAGTACAGCCTTTATATTTTCTTTTGTTAATTTATCAGCAAAGCTCCCATTGTTTTTTTACTGATGATAAATTACACTTTTTTTATGGAGTGCCGAGTCATAGTAATTTCCTTGTTCCAATTTCATTAACTTCCTGGTAGTATTGTCTGGAGCAACCAGATGCTGATGTGTAATCCAACTGTTTCCCTAGTATGTGGGAAGCAGTAAACTTTTTGTTTATCTTGTAAACAGTTCTGGCTATATATCTTTGGCTGTTTCTTTCCCATGGCCAGATTAAGATTGGCATAAACTGATTCTCACTGGCAACATGCAGTGCCTAGAAACAGGGACAAAAAAATCCCAGACCTATGTCATTAGCCTGGTTCACAGAAGTTGACTGGCTTTGTTTTGTTTTGAAATCTGGATGGGTTATGTTATTTTTACATATAATCTATACATGAACAGTCTCCAAGAAGCTGAAACTTTTCAGTTCGTTGTAAAATTAAATATATTTTTCTAGAACCTTACCTAAAATCTTCTGCAAAAGGGGAACACTGCCATTTAAAACTGATGGCAAAATATTAAATTGTATTGAAGAGAGACATTTTCTTAATTCTCACAAAATAATAGCAATTGCCAAGCCAAAAAAAAGAGTTAATAATTTTACACGAGTGCTGTAAAAAATAGCCAGGTATTTTGCATCTGTTACAGATATTTACTGTTGAAAAAGTGATTTTGCTAAGCGTCAACCTGTATTTGTGTACACGTATGGATTTTGTATCAAATTATAAAATCTACTGTTGTAGATTAAAACTTTGGGTTTTGAACATCTCTCAAAAAAAAATTTATAAGGGTTTTTGGACTAGTCTCACAAGGGTTTGATTTCTTGAATTGCCATTTTTACTGGTGTAGCCAGTGATATCAGGGCCATAATTAATCACTTATACCTCATATTAGTAAATTGCTTGAATATTTTGGGATGAAATATCTTTATTTTCCTTAAGATTCGATCAAAATACAGCAGCATCTGAGATTCTGTCCAAGTTCTTCTGTCAAACCTGGGTATTTTTAGCAACAGCAAATACAAGTAATTATGAGCAGCTATTGCAATAAGGTATGTTTTCATTTTCTAAGTTTTGAAAGGATTACTTGAAGGGGGGGGGCAGGGAAGCAATGCATCATTTCTAATTTGGAATTTCTTTGCTTTATGTACTTTGAGATAGGTTTTATGAAATGCTATGCCAACAAAAAGTTTCACAGTGGCACTTTCATTGAGGTATACTTACTTGAGCATTCTTGATCTGAGTAACAGTTTGAAATACTTATTTTTTAATTTTTTAGACTTGATAATAACAGGTTTTGGAACTTAGAACAATGTGTGTTTAAACTCCTGAACTGTATTTGCAGGACCGGTCTTATCTTATTCTGTAACTATGGAGCACCTTTTTGCTTGATTTAAACTGGCTCGGAAATAGGCACTCTAATCTTTGCTTACATGACCAGATTGAGATTGGCATTCGGGTTGATTTTCACAGTGTGTGGCACATTTATAGTGTTTCTTTTAGATGCAGCAAGATTGTGAAGTTGGCTGCAACTACATATAACCATGTATGCAATACAGCTACTGGCAGGTCTAGGTTCAGTATGGAGGCACATACAAATTAGGCACTGAAACTCTTCCATTTTGGGTGGCCAGGTATGTGGTGGGCCAGAATTGAACACCTCGTATTCTTATACAATGTGCAGGGAGATCCAAGTGCCTTAGGGCGATAACTGTGCTTATGGAGTAATGTTTCCATCTCTGGCAACTAGGAAGTGGGAGCAGGAAGGAAGAGGAAGAATCATCATCTACATAAAAGATCACCTTGGAGAATGTAAGTGGACTTTGGAGTTTGGAGTTCTTCTCAGGTCAGTTGTTTGCACCTGCAATGGCTTTGCAAAGGGCTTACAGAGCTACTATTTAGAAAACAGTACAGTGGTATATTTAAAAAACCTTTCTCCTCTACTGCCTGGTTCTGGGCTGTAGATAGGCCCCTTTATTAACCTGCGATCCAGAGTTCAGAAGCCAAAGCTAAGAGATGTTGTCCATGTATGAGTACTGGAAGTAGCAGAAAAGAGTTTGCACCATATTTTCTTAAGTTTGTAGGTTTCTAATGACTTTTTATACTGTAGCTGGTACTATAGGATTCTTTGAAGATTCCCTGCAGCAGTGGCTGAGCAGCAGAAATGCCTTGTCCTGCCCACCTGCTTTCACTTCCAGGTCACAGATCCATCCTTCTTGGTTTTATTTCTGATACTCTGAAATTCAGGATTTTTGCTGCAAAATAGTCTGAAGGGCTTGAGAATGCTCTTTCTTGCACAGATAAGTTTAGCTATCTTGAGTTAGGTGGCAGCTCAATATGAAATTGCTGTTTTGCACCAATTCCTTTGCCTTGGCTTTGGCCTATATTTTGCTTTAGATGCTTGCGTCGCACTTGGACCTCACTCTTGGTTTTGTCTACAAAGTGCAGTAAACTGGGCTATAGAAATACTGGGACTGATTTCTGTGAAAGATAAGTCAGTCTGGCTGGATATCTCCATAATACAATTGTATTAACTCTGCTAATTTGGATAGTTTATTTAGAGTTAGCTGCCTTTAGATGGAACGGAGCCACAAAGTGTAGAAGTATTCTGCTCCGTCCAGAAATTCTGAGATCGGAAGCAACTGTAGTCCTACCAGTGCCAAAACAGCTATTATTATGTAAGTTCAAAATTTATTGCTTGCAAAGTAGTTATTAGTTTGGTTCGTAAATTGTCTGCTGGAATGGGCATAGCAAGTGGAAGTTTTTACTATTGTTTCTTTTTGTTCCAACAATGAATAATAACCAAACACATTGGATTTAAAGTTTTAATAAAGCTTTGGGTTGAATTTTTGTTTAAAACTTTTCTTTATAGGTAAAAAATATTTCTATGTCTCATAAAAGTAGTAGTCATGAACACCAGAGCTACATGAACCAGTGTTTTTATTCAGCTCCATCTATTTTTATCAATGTTGTTTATATACTTACTTATACACTTATTTGCAGTGTATTTGTTGAAAAATATAAGGTATTGCTTTAAAGTAACAGCAATAGAGGTGAAAATGTTTTAATTCTTATAGTACAGATTTTACTGGAAGAAAAGTACACATTACTTGTATTAAAAATAATTACTACATTAGATGCAGATATTTCAATTTTACTACTAGAAGGTAAAATTAGGATTCTCACATATAGTAATTTCTAATCTGTTTATATTTTTCCACAGATTTTATTAACACTTAACTGAATCAGACCTTCTTCTTCTAATTAGATTAGCATTACAGGCATTTTTCAAATTTTTAATGGCAGGAGAGTAGTATCCGCTTATACATAATTTTTTGAAAATAGTAAAATTCTATTATGAAAATAATGACTGAAAAATAATTACTTTACTAAAATCCGCGTACAGCTACTGCTTACCAGTTGTCGTGGTTTAAAACCAGACAGAGCTCCTCACTCACTTCCCCCCTCTCTTCTTGCCCTCCCCCTCGAAAAGAATTCAACTCCCACTGGTTGAGATAAGAACAGTTTAGTAACTAAGGTATAACACAGATCACTACTGCTACCACCAATAATAACAATGATAAAGGAAATAACAAGGGAAGAGAATACAACACCTCACCACCAGCTGACCGATCACTCGCCCCCCCAGCCCGACCAAGCTCTGACCGATGCCTCCTCCAGCCCTGCAGTCCCAGCCCTTCCGGCTAACTCCCAGTTACCTCCTGGGCATGACGTGCTGTGGTATGGAATACCTCTTTGGTCAGTTTGGGTCAGGTGTCCTGTCTCTGCTTCCTCCTGGCCTCCCCTCCTCCCTGGCAGAGCATGAGGCTCACAAAGTCCTTGGCCAAACCAAAACATCATTGTTATCAGCTCTGTTTCCAGGCTGAAAGTCGAAACACTGCACTGCACCAGCTACCAAGGAGGAGAAAAATGACTGCTACTCCTGAACCCAGGACACCAGTCCAGTCCTGTAGGAATTTATTTAAAAATGCATAGTTTTCATATAAAGGTGCTCCACAAAATGGATCTGATTAAAGCTAGTGAAACTGCAAATCTGAGTGTTTTCTAAATGTTTGTATATATAAAACCTCCTGTCTATCGGGAAATTGTCACACTGTAAGAAATCATGGTTTCAATAAAAGAAGCAAGGCCAGTGTGTGAAGTAAATGAGATATTGCCTCATTATCTTTTTTGCTAACTGCCTACAGTGGGCTTAATTCAGGCATGTTTGAAAATATTTATATAATCTCTCTTTTTTCTCTGAATATCATAATACTCTTGTGCACATTGAGTTGTATGACTGTCTCATGTGGTGCAGTGGTGCAGTTTAGCATCTCTTCCAATGCTTCTGGTGAGCATACAGGGAAGTAAGTTGGTTGTAGCCTGGTTTTTGTGAAGTGATAGAGTGTGGGGGAGCTGGAAGGGAAGGTGAAGACATTACTGAATTGAATGCATAAATCTCTTAGAAGTTTTGAATGCACACACTATAACAGAAATTTTCTTCCCCCCCCCCCCCCTTCTGTTTTCTGGTTATACCAGAATAGACTTAAAGAAAAAAAAAAAAGTCCATTGGAGCCACCTTGCATTTCCCTGTCAGTTGCCTTTAAAAAAAAAAAGTGTATATAGCTCCATAGAAAGCTGTTTTGGAAATAAAAGCGGGTCAGGTTAGAAGGTCATAAAAGAACTGAGGAAAGCCACTCAGAAAATGCCCCTTGCTGAAGAGCGGCATTGTTAATTGCCTCTCCCACAATAAAGTTCTGGTGTCTGAGGAAAGCTGGAAGAGCTACAAGTAGTGTTTTAATCTGTCTTCAAGCAGTGGGTGCCAGCAAGGATAGAAGGCAGCCAGCAGTATGTTTTTTGTTTTTAGACTTTCTTTTCTGACACCAGCTGGCACTGAAGCACTTGATGTGTTTAACAGGCAGGAAGGATGGCTATGAAATGGTTTAAAATAAGTTTGAGGAGTACTGAAATCTGTGTAAAAACTAAACATATGAAAGATGTTTCTATATTTGATAGGAACTGTAAATGAAAAGCCAAGCATTTGTGACTGTTTAGAGGTTGAACATCCTCAACTTCAAGAGGCTGAATCCCTGGTGATAGGCCAGATTTAACTGCAATCTGGAAAAAAAAAAACCTCTAGAGAATGTGCTGTTGAGATATCCAAAATTAACCCTTGGCAAAACAAGCGCAGTTATATTCCTTGTTGGTTTGGAGACATGATTATGAATTACAGGTGTGCTTTGCTTGGTTTTTGTTAATCCTTTTTCACTGCCCTTTTACAAATATGAAGTTTATTAATTTCATTTGTTTGTAAGACTTTGCTTTGTTTTGATGTCTTCAGATGCTGTGGAGTGTCTGCACAAATTTACACACAGAGAAGGGCTGTTTTGTTTAACAGTGTTTTGGGACTTGAATGTTTTGTTGTTACTCTGCACTGTCTAGCCTTTCCATTTTGGAAAATGAGTATGAATATAAATAATGTCTCTAGTGGATAGTCCATCTCAGATGTATTCTGGTCTGGCTTTAGATTTCATTTGGTGTTGAGGTTATTTGTGTGCCTAACACAATTAACTGCAAATTTTGACCCTTGTACATATGCTGTATCTCTCAGCTGCTGATAGGAGGGAAAATTTGATTTTTCCTTTGAGTTATTTTCATATGTACATTTGACTGCAAGTGTGCAGGGAACTTACAAGACTGAGCTTGGAGATATTTTGTTTGGCAGTTGCATATAGCATGAGTATATATAAACTGAGGTTTATATTTGTGCCAGAATAAGACATGCCTAGAGTTCATATCAGAGGTAGTTCCAGATTTTCAGCCAAACCAGCAGATTCATGTCATATTTTTCTGAAAATCCCATCATCAAGTGTAGAACTGTCTCTCTACTTTTTGGACAAAAACCTGTGGATTTTTTATAAATGCAAACACAATATTTTTTTTACACAGTCTGTTGCCATAATAAAGAATCACATGTAAAACTTGTCAGGTAGACATGAAAACGTGTAGAGATTTCATGGTGGGCTTTCCTGAGAAAGCACTCCAACAGATTTTGAATGACATTGGCAGCTTAACTGAAAACATTAACTGATTTTTTTTGTTTTGCAGTAGCAGGAAGCCGTATATGCAACATATTTATTTGTATAGGCAGTGTGTATGAAAGAACAGCAGCAGGTAAGTAACTTTGTACTGTATACAGAAAGAAAGTTATTTGCTAGTGATAGGTAGTTCTGTACTGTCATCTCAGCAGCAGAGATTTGAATTGTCATCCCACCTCTTACTTTTCTCACAAAATTCAAAATAAGCGTTCACAAACTACGGAGCAGCTGAATAATTTTACTATTATATCAAGTAAACTGTTAGAAAAAGACAATTAAGGTAATCAGTCATCAGAATTTACAAGCATTAGTTTTCAAAAGGAAAAAATACTGGGATATAGTACAAATGCATTTTTTAAGTGTTTATGTTGATACTTGATTGTTTTTTCTGATTCTTCTAAATGTGACCTGGTTTAAGTTGCAGAACAGACATTCAGGCATAAACCATATTTAAGGAGTAAGATATACTCTCCATTTCTTCCAGTTATTAATTAACAGTAACATTTGGAACAAATAAGGGAGTACCATAAGATATACCCCCAGAGCTGTAGATACCACTGATTTTATGGGCTGTTAAGCATATATGGTAAAAACCTGGCTAAGAGTATTCCTCACCGTTTAGGCTATTGACTGGTGAATATGAGTGATCTGAAAATTAAGTGACAAATAATGGACTTTGTTTATTTATTTTTAATAGACATCCTTAACTAATGTAGGTTTTGAAGGCTTCTGTTTTTTTTCATATTAAGCATGGAGTGTTTTTCTGATCTTACTACAGAATGTATTATGATGTGTGAGAAAAGAGAAGACCTGATGTTTCAATCTTTCTGCTTTAACTTCTACTGCATGTTTATTTGCAATATTTTATTAGACTAGAGTCATCTTAGTTCCCTGTGATGGTATCATGATGGTGTCTTGTATAAATCTGTAACTGGTTCAGGAAGAAGAATTTTGGAGAGCTGTTTTAAGGGAGTTGAATCAATACATTCACTAATTGAGGGAAAGCAAGAGTATATACTGGGCATAAAAACATGAAAATAGAAAACTTGGCAAATGGTGTAAGGCCTCTGTATGAAGTTCTAAGTAATGGCTTTTGGCACTCTAGTTTTCAGAATTTCAGATGAAACACTTACAAAAAGAGAAAATTACCATTTTTTGAGAAGGAAAGGAATTTGGACTTTGAATTAGCAGTGAACTAAAGGAGGATAGTAGGTGTGAATTGAAACTAATTGGTGCTTCAGATCATTGAGCTGCTTGAAAATAACATGTGTGGTGAGAACTGTGGAAGTTAAGTCTCTCTTAAATGCCTAATTAAGCACAGTTCTGTCCTGCATGGGAGAGAAAAAAAGTTAATGTCACTTGCTGCTTTGTACTCAACTGACTGATTTAAATGAACAGTCAGTCAAAAGTTTCAGCTTCTGTGCGGTAAAGTTCTCCTTATGATTAGGTTGATCTATTAGTCCTAGAAAGGGTGATGCCCTAAGGCATACAGATACAGGCATAAAGATGGCAGAGGTACAATCAGAGTTGTCCAGAAAATGTGTAAAGCAGGTTGCTGGCACAACGGATGAGCATTTTCAAGTGTGTGTAATGTGGGTGCAGAAGTCTTGTAGCTGAGTGTCTAAATTGCGTCACACCCTGTGGCCTGACTGAAGCACACATCTGTGTGAGTTAGGATATGGCAAAGATATAAAAAATGAAATTTTTACTGGAAAAGTACCCATTAAAAAGCATGGAGGAACCTCCCTTCTACTCCCTTGAAAAAGGGTTGACAGTTGATCAGACTTGTATAAAATAAATTGGACCATTTGACATGTAAGATCCTTTGCTTTCAAAAAGACTATTGGGTTCACTGGCCACAATCCAACAGAGAAAACAAAATGTGCAGAATAAACACTGTCTATAACAGGTGGACGTAATGCTTTATTATGCACAAATGCTGTTTTGTGTTGTGTAACCTGGGGACAATTTAGCAGACAATTTTGTACTTAGAAAAATCATGGTTTATGCAGAAAAGGAGAACCACGAATAATGAATTGTCTACATCTGAAAATACCACACTAGATCTGAAACACATGTCCCACAGCATTGTCTTACAATTTCAAAAGCAGAGGAAGGAAGAGAGATTATTAAATTTAATTTTACTCCCTCATATCACTTTAAAACAGATGTTTAAAACCAAAAACGTATCCTTGCTTTCCAGTATTTATTCTGAAATATTTTATTACCGATGTTTTGTCATTCAAGACCAAACATACAAACAGTGGCCCTTATTCATCATGCAGCTAAGAAAGAGGTATTGTGATTTTGTGCCTGCAAACCTCAGTTTAACTTATAAAACAAAACAAAATAAAATGCAAACAGAATACCACTCTGTTGTGAGAAGTATGGGCTCTGTGTGTTTATGTGTATGTGTGTAGGAATGGCTGCCTGGCTCCAGGAGAAGCTGATCCGTGAGGCTTCTCTTCCCCAGTAGTTTTTTACCCTCAGTTCTACACAATCAAGTGCCGGTATTTTCAAAGAAATAGGGGTTAGCTGAGGTGTAAGCTATATATTTAAGAAGCCAGGAGTCATCTGATGTAGTTTTTGAAGACCAAATCATACAGAGTTATTTCTTGGACAGCTTCGATGTCTGTGAGCAAAAGTGCTGACATTTTGTGCAAAAGAATCAGTTGTCTTCATGTTCCTGCAGAACTGTGAAGATAAAATTATGTCACTACTCAGGTAGAAGGATGGACTCCCACAGACTAGACTGGAATACTAGAGCCTGCATCACCAGCAGATCACTGCAGTTCTGTGTTTCCAACTTTTGAGATGAAAGAAGAAACAACTGGTTTCCCATACAACATGTTTTGCTGATTTCATCCAATTTCATTATTATCAGCCGCAGCACTTTTTCTTCTAAGTGATTTATAAATACTGACTAATTTGTTCTCACAATTGTCACAACAATCTGGATTTTACTCTCTCAGACTAAAAAATGTCACTGAAGACAAGGAAACAGACTAAGTCAAATATTAATCAAAGGGTTCATTTCCTCTGTGAGGTCAGCCTCAAAATGGCATTAGATCCCATCTGGGCAGTCCTTATTATTACCAGCATAGGTCTAGTCACTAGGCGCTTCTTCACTTGCTCATTTTCTGTGAAGCTGGTTTCTCTGGAACCTTATTGCCAGAGAAGAGGAAATTAAAAGAAAAAAGAAAAAGCAAAAAGAAGCTTTCCATTGTTAATGCAGCTGGCTTTGTAAGTTTACTTCAGCTTCATTCCAGTCCTTTTCATTTAATGTTTTCCTCTGCATATATTCAGGTGGAAATGTTTATAGTGTTGGGACCGATCTTGTTCAACATCTTTATCGGTGACATGGACAATGGGACTGAGTGCACCCTCAGCAAGTTTACCAATGACACCAAGCTGTGTGGTTCGGTTGATATGCTGGAGGGAAGGAATGCCATCCAGAGGGACCTTGACACACTTGTGAGGTGGGCTGATGCCACCCTTATGAAGTTTAACCATAATAAGTGCAAGGTCCTACACCTGGGTCGGAGCAATCCCAGGCACAGTTACAGGTTGGGCAGAGAAGAGATTCAGAGCAGCCCTGTGGAGAAGGATTTGGGGGTGTTGGTTGATGAGAAAATGAACATGAGCCGGCTTCAGTGTGCGTTTGCAGCCCAGAAAGCCAACCGTATCCTGGGCTGCATCAAAAGAAGCATGGCCAGCAGGTTGAAGGAGCTTGATCCTGTCCCTCTACTCTGCTCTTGTGAGACCTCACTTGGAGTATTGTGTGCAGTTCTGGTGTCCTCAACATAAAAAGGACATGGAACTGTTGGAACAAGTCCAGAGAAGGGCCACGAGGATGATCAGGGGACTGGAGCACCTCCCGTATGAAGACAGGCTGAGGAAGTTGGGGCTGTTCAGCCTGGAGAAGAGAAGGCTGCATGGAGACCTCATGGCAGCCTTCCAGTATCTGCAGGGGACTTATAAGGATGCTGGGGAGGGACTGTTCATTAGGGACTGTAGTGATAGGACAAGGGGTAATGGGTTCAAACTTAAACGAGGGAAGTTTAGATTGGATATAAGGAAGAAATTCTTTCCTGTGAGGGTGGTGAGGCACTGGAATGGGTTGCCCAGGGAGGTTGTGAATGCTCCATCCCTGGCAGTGTTCAAGGCCAGGTTGGACGAAGTCTTGGGCGACATGGTTTAGTGGGAGGTGTCCTTGTCCATGGCAGGGGCATTGAAGCTTGATGATCTTAAGGTCCTTTCCAACCCTAACTATTCTATGATTCTATGATTCTATGATTCTATAGAAGTGATCCTTTCTTAGAATTTATGGTTATCTTCTCAAGTGTGGCATGTGTAAGAGTTATCTAGGACATTCCATTCAGGCAGATGCAAAATAGATGCTGTTTTGTTATCTGTGGCATCGCAGAAAAGAAAGAGGAAGGGAATGAGTGAGGTAGCTGAGCCATGCTCAGCCCAAGCCCTTAATGCTCGTCAGAAGATCTGGCAAACATAACCAAGGTTATGTTGTTCTTCACAGCCAGAGAAACCTGGGATGTGCTTCTTTGAGGCAGAAGCTTCCCCACTGCACTCTCCTGCAATGGTATGACTGTACCATCACCCACTCCAGTTATGGCTGTCTGTCACGAGTGAGCCTGCTATTGGGAGTGGGACTGCTCATAAAGAAGACACTCTTTCTAAGCAAAGCTGATAACAGTGGACATGAAATATGGCAGTGTTTCTCAAAGATCTTACCCCTTCGTACCAGATTCAGCCTAATTCTCTTTGGCTGGTAAAGTCTCATGGAAATGTAACACAATGTATGATGATGATACTGAAAGTCTCAGAAAGCTTTTTGCTTGGAGTGCTGTTCTGAAACCTCATGGAGAATTTGGGGGAGGGGGGTTTCCTGCCCTTTGTGTGGAGTAAATTAACTCCGTAAGTAGGGTTTTGAACAAAAATAAGCATTTAAAAACCTTTTCTTGGCAAATGCTTTCCAAAGTGTGTCATCTTCTATGTGCATTTTGCATGTGAATGCAATGGGATGTTTAACAATCCAATTTCCATTTTACCTTAATGCTCATTTAATAATCACAAGACCTTTACTTTTTAAACATTTGCTTAAATTCAAATATTAAGTATTAGTAAGGTTTAATCTGAAAAAAGTGTAGCAGCAGTTCTACTTTAGTTTTACTCCAACCTTGTGTTCACCTTGCACCTATCACATAGGGAAGCCTGAAACATTATTAGTAGGTATAATCTGTGACAAGCTTATCTCTGGAGAGCATTACAAGAAGTCCAAAAATGTGACTTCCTATTGTCATGAACAGGGTGAAGAGTTATACCCATTTACTGGGGCTAGACATGGAGATGGCTATTAAATGGCAATGTTTCAAAGTTTGATAAACCTAATGTAGAAGATTCAAAGCAGCTAATGTTTTTAATGTTTGTAGGATTTGTTTAGGACTTTAAAAATGGGAAATGCAATTTAATCAGTGGCATGCTAATACAAATTAGCAGTTTTCAACCCATCTTTCTGAAAAATGAGATATCTTTAAAAATTGACTGAGTTCTTCAGTGTCCGCCAGCATCTGCCACCTTGGAGACATTATAGGTTATTGTCAAAAGATGACTGGAATACAGAGCCACTAAATATTTTATCTTAATGATAATGTATGCTGCAAAAGTGTTGAACTTTATATTGAGCTTTGAATTGACTTGATAAAAGACATACTGGATTCCTTTTTTTTTTTTTTTTTCACATTAACTTTGTGCCAGGAGCAGGGGTCAAAGCTAGCATTTAAATTCAGACTTTTCTCTATTTATTGCTGGTAAAATGGGCATATCAGGGGAATTATTTATTTTATTGTAATTTTAAAAAAGTCTGGATCAAGTTCAACTAATTAGTTGTGGTTTTAAAGAGATAGATGGGGTAAATGTCAGAAGTGCTGTGAGTCAGTTATTTAAGTAAAATATGTCCTGTTCCACTGAAGTTGAAGGTCATTTTACCATCCCTAACCCTTTGAAACTTTTGTGCTGTACTCAACCATGCACCCAGCTGTGCCCTACCCACTTACACGCATTTATTAGTCAGAGAATCTGTGATAAACACCAGTGACATAAGAGCCAAACATCTATCATAGTCAAATGGACTGTAATTCAAGACAGTTCAAAATGTATTTCCTAATTTTCATGATTGACTATAACACAAAACCAGGTATTTCCTGCATGTCTAGAGCTGTTTCTTCTTTCCTTTATTTTTTAAGGGAATTTCAGAAAAAAACTGTTCAAGCTTAACATGAACAAGTCTCACCAAGTTTTCTTTCAAGAGCATTTTACAGTCACAGTCTCATTGTCCAAAGCTGCTTCTGTATATGAAGCAGCAAATAATTTATGTGCAGTAAAAAAAGTGAAGGTAATTTTTAGGGCTGTAGGTATTTTTCCTGATATATTGGGGTTTTCCCCTTTATTATTTGCTTTCTACTGTTGAATATAATTCTTACAAAGTGCTATGCATGCTTTAATTCTTTTTTCAGTTTATAAATTTTTTTAAGGAGGACCTGATTAATTTTACAACATAACGATAACATTTTAGCACTCACATAGTTCTTTCTTTTCGAAGAATTTCCAGGAAAAAGCCTATGATCTCTACTTTTTCCAAATATGGGTATTTGCTCTTAAACATTGTTTTGGGAATAAAAAAATTGCCCCAAATAAAATGGTTAAGTGTTCTAAAAAATAGCTGTTTTCAGGCATTTACCTAGTGACTAATTTATAACTTAGCAGAATGGAAAAATTCTATTGTTTTGTTATAGTATTGCAGAGTCCAGTTGTCAATAATGACTTCTTTCCTCCTTGAACTAGGTGGTTTAGATCTTCCCTTGAAACTGCTTGTGTTCAAAACGGAGAAATGAGTTCAGAGTTTGAAAAAAATGGCAATCCAACCATTTGTATGCTCCATGTCATACCTCCATCTTTTCAGAAACTGAAATATGCTCTACTACTACTTCCTTTGGTTACCTGCATTGGTTTTGCATCAACAAAATAGTAAGAGATGGTTTTAGGGCTTTTTGTGCCTTAACTGCAGAATCATGTGGATCATGATGTAGTCACTTACGCTCAAGTATCAATGGGAGGAAAATGCATTCAAGAAAGTGTATCAAGAAAGTGTAGGCTTGAGCCTTGTGAAATGAATAAATTATGGGGTTTAATCGCACCTTCATTAAACCTGATGTCAAAGATTTTGCTGTCTCAAGTGGCACAGGATGGCTCAGAAAGGAATTTTGGGACTGAAGGTTGATGCCAAGGTCTTTGAGAGGTAAACAGGAACTCTCAGTCATGGAAAGAGAGGAGCAGTGTAAAAAAAAAGACTGAGAGACTGAGAAAGAACAAAATGCTGTTTGCTTTGCAGTACTTCACTGAATGAAACTTGGAAGCTACAAATTTACTTGATCAAGGCAGAAAAAGAACGAATGGAGAGGATGTCAAAACACGTAAGTTTCAGCAGATAGTGGATGTGCAGCTGCTGCAATTAAGCTCTTCAAGGGACATGTGTTAAGTTGTAAAAGTTTGAAGTCAGAAATGTTTATTTTGCACAGTTATTTGTTGTGCTGGGTGGTGAGCACATACAGCCCTATGCAGATAAGTACAATGAGAGACTGCACTTTGCCCCAAACACTGACAGGAGTGCTGTGGTGGTGAATTCCTTCATTGCCTTGAGTCTGTGGGAACAGGGAATAAGGGTCCTGCCTGTTCTCTGAGCAATGGAAATGGGGTATTTCTTGCTGCCACTAGCACAGTGACAGGGAGTTCTCCACATGCCTTCAGAAAAGGCATTTCTTACATCTCTGAGCTGTATACTATACCTCATTGCAGAGCAAAGTATAATGCTGTAATAACATTCATCGTATATTAGTTGGGTATGCACATACTACATTTAAATTACCTTAATAACTTTAATCAAGCTTGTAATTAATGTAAAGCTTTAAAAAATGCATTTAAAGCATTACTGTATGTTTTTTTGTTCAAGTGTAAGGAGTGGGAAGGAGATGGAGGAGGAAGGCAGCATCAAGGTTAAATTCAAAGCTTCACTAAATGAACAACTCCTAATCTTCCAAATATTCCTCAGATGTCTCATTATAACCATTGACAATAGTTCCAGTGCTTTTCTTGGTGTCATTTGTGAATATGAAAGTACAGCAGTATAGCAGAAAGCATCAGGATAAAAAAGGGAAGAGGAGAAAATCATGACCCCTTCTTTTGGCCCTTTGGCAAATACATATTTGCTTTTGGGTATACTGAGCACAGCACAAAAATCTCTCATGAGAACTTTGTGTGAGGAAGTGCACTGTGTCTGTCACTAAAAGAAAAAAAGGAACGTGTCATCACTCCAAGTGGTATTGATTAAAACAATAAGGATTTCCTGGTGCCAACAGTTGAAACAACTGTGTGAAAAGTAGTGAAGAGGTATTACCATATTGTTGAGGCTTTCTCAGGAAAATTCCAAATAAACCAAAGGATTCCTGTCAATATTTGTGTAAGGAAACATGCTGCTGCCTGATTCGGAGGCACTTCACACACATGCACAGGCACACATACCCTCCTTCCTGCATGCAAAATTCCTGAGAAACTTTATCACAATCACACAAAAAAAGGACACACTCAGAATTTGGTGCACTCTTTCTCATGCTAATATTTACAACATCGATCTCTTATTGTCAGTATTTAATCTACATTTCTCCCAGCACTGGTCAATGGAAAGCACAGCTGCTGAAACCTCATATTGTGCAGGCAGTGTGCCTTTGTGTCTGCAGCTGGGGAGTTCTCATGTCCACAATAGCAAGTCTGAGCACACTAAATTAGGAAAGGTTATTGTTTCATTTATTGACTACACAGGTTTAAAACAGCAAGTATATCGTTTGTTTCATGTTTTATTTGTTAAGGTCATTTTCACTAAAAGCTGGGCACATGGTCACAAATATAGGGCAGCTGTACTTCCAGCCACCCCAGTAGGAAGAAAATTCCAAACATTATTGAAATGAAATTGGATGGTTGGTTGCTTTTATGTGGCACAGCCTCCCACCTGCCTTCTCCCACCCATCCATTTGTGAAGGCTTGCTGCAGGTTTTTTTCTTCTCTTTTTGCATCCAAGTTCCTTCCCAATAAAGTGTTTATCCTACTATACAATCCATTTTAAGCAAAGCTGGTTTAATGGTGGAAGGGAAGACAAGTAAATTCAATTTTTGAGCTCAGTTTCCAAATGCTTCATTCGTGGAATGGTCTATAGAAAAAGAAAGGCAGCAATTTTAGCTGGAAGCAAATAGTACTTGGGAGTAACAAAAAAAGGGAGGGGAGAAAAGGGAGAAAAAACTATTTTAACACTTTAGGTTATAATGGTATTCAAATATATATTTTTCTGCCATTTATTCAGTTGTGAAGGAATTCTGTGAATAATAATAGCTGCTGCCAAAGTTATTTATATTTAAGAGGGTCTTTATGTAAAATCATTTTTTTTTTATCAGGAGTGATTTTTCTCTAGGAGAAGTCTGCCATCTCCTAGCAACCGATATGGCTATCTTTTTTAACAGACACTGCAATAACAATAGGTGCCTAACCTTTATATGGAAGCATTTGCACATGTACAATCAGACCGCTTAGGAATTCAAACCCAGTTGTTAAAGTGCTCCAAGGGAGACACTGGTTACTACTTTATCTACTATGCATCTCATCTAACCAAGATTTTATAATGGCAACCATTTTAGCTGTAGCCGAATACCTCCCAGCGAGATCCAAAACTAAATCTGAAAATGATCCACACCTTAACCTTCCCCTCTCTTCTCTCACAGGAGACAAGGGGACTCACTTCACTACTTCGGTTTTATTTCCTTCTCCGTTTTTGATTGTGTCGCTCCAATTGCAGAGACATAGCATCACTTAAACTTGCTCGGTAAAGACTTATTTTAATTTTTAAGTCTAAACATGAGAGTACAAAGACCTCTATCTGCAAATGGGTAACTAATTTTAAAGGTACATGACTGTAAATTAAGTATCTCTGACTCAGGGTAGGCTCTTCTTTCTCCACCTGGCTGGTTTTGGATGATGTAGATACAGAAGATTTGGACAAGGGGAAAATCTGGCTAATTATAACATGACCAGGCCCATTTCAGTGATTCATACCTCCGTGCCTGAAGGCTGGTCTGAATCATGAACCACATAATGCCAGGAAGGAGCTCTGTGAAAAAACCAGTAGCCGTGGAAAAACATGTGTGTGGTACCTCAGGAGACATGAGATGTAACTTCCAGGAGCTCAAAGTTCTCCAGCTACTGCCCAAAGGCTGTTCTGTAACATGTTTCTGTAACATGAGGGACTTTTTATAAGGGCAGATAGTGATAGGACAAGGGGTAATGGCTAAAAGAGAGTAAACTTAGATTAGAAGATTAGATATTAGGAATAAATTCTTCCCTGTGAGGGTGGTGATGCACTGGAACAGATTTCCTAGGGAAGCTGTGGATGCCCCATCCTTGGCAGTGTTCAAAGCCAGATTCCACCAGTCTAGTGAAGGGTGTCCCTGACTGTGGCAGGGAGTTGGAACTAGGTGATCTTTTAAGGTCCTTTCCAACCCAAACTGTTCTGTGATTCTGTTTCAGTAGGGGCCCTACCAAATTTCTGTTCCTTTGCAGAAATAGAAACAACTGTTGGCCTGGAAAGAGGGAGCAGTTGACTCAGTAAAGCTTCAAGAAATTTCCCTGATACATGTCCTCTCTTCCTGCTCCTAGAGCTGTTATTATCTTTTTAACATCTTGAACCATCCTTGAACAAAACATTTGAACAGCATTGGCAACAGGTGATATGAGCAAATGAAACAAGAGGCCATGGCTTTCCCATCAACAGCATGACTAAATCGGTAATTTCTTGTCTAGATGCCACAATGAGTAAACCAGATTCAAATCAGAAAGAAAATGAGGCACAATTACAACTAAATAAATTAAAACTTTCCCTTGAAAGTTCTTCTATCAGTTAAGTATAGCTAAACATTGAACTTGAGCACCCGCACTCCCAAACCTGTAGCTCAGTCCCCTATTTAGTAAATTCATAGAAAGCTATGACAAATCCCCAGGTGTGGTGACAAACAGATCCTTCATTAAGCTTCAGCATCTTTCTCTGATCCCAGTTTATCCTTCTCCATTCTGCTACCAATGCCATTCAAAATGATGCTTAAGATTCATAGCCTGAAAATAAACACTTTTTTTTCATCATTTGTAGTTGACCCAAAATTTGGTTGGAAACAAAATCATGTTATATATGCATGTTTTGGTCAAAACGTTTGAGATCTGGAATGAAAATGGAAGTAAATCCACTGTGGAGGAGATTTTGCTTTCTTGTATTACTAACAACACACTGTTATTTTCCAGTTCAAAACTGAATCTTTTACAATAAATTTGATCTGTGTTCCCTGTGCCTTTTCTCTAATTTTTAGCCAAATGCAAACTCTTGTCTTCAGATTTGGATATTCTTTCTTTAGTGGTTGAGCATTTGTCAAAGCAGCTTTCTAAATCCTTCATTTAACTCTGAATGCAGAGCTTCTGTTTTCATTTTTTATATCCGTCTTCAGGCATTTCCAAGTTGATTTAGTGTGGTCTCTGCTTTTACCGCAAAATTTAATGTTTTTCATTACAGATGCTCTCTCCTTTATTTCCACTGATAGATAAGACCCTTATTTATTTACTACTTTGGATCACAATTTAGATGTTCCCTATAACTTTATAAATACATATATATATAGACAGATATCAACATATTGCTTTCATGTAGTTTTCATCAGAAAGGCTGAGTGCTAGGTCAGTGGAGTGTCTTCAGCATGTATCAGTACACACAGGCTATAGATCAAGTAGTTCTTACTTTCAAAGTACTCTTTAACTTTAGGAAGTTTTTACATAAATTCTTGATGGAAAATATGTCCCAGAAAAAAAAAAAAGAAAGAGATCTTGATGTCAGGGAACTAAATAGTAGCCAGTGTTCCCTGAGATCCGATGTCTGTCGTTTGAGTGCTTAACCACAAATCTTTAATTTAGTCCTACTAAGAGAACTCATTAATATTAGACAAATTTCATTCTTTACATGAGTTATAGAATAATAAAACTAGGAATAATTTACAGTGGATAATTTACTTTTAAAGTGCATTTGACAAATTTCGCTGCTTTTTCAGTTTGTGGAATACCAACTAGTGCTTATAGGTCTCTGATAAGGACATGAGGTAAGAAAGGATGTCCTGGGTAATGGGGAGCAGCTACAGCCTCCTGGGTAACAACTCTCTGCTGTTGCTGGCAGCCATCTCATATCATTCCTTTTAGGAACTTATCCAGTTTGATCTTAAAAGTAGTCTAGCTGCTCTCTTCTCTGGAAATTAGAAACCTTCTTTTAATTTTCCAGTCTAATCTTACCCAAGACTACACTTTTTTTTTTTTTAAATCATTCTTGAATGAACTTCTGTTTTTCAGCTTTGCTAGCTCTTTGTCTTCTCTAGTGTATACTTGTTTCTCAGCATTGGTTTGCTAAATTAAGCAACCCTCATCTAAATCTTCTTTCTGTTTGCCAGACCGTCCTAGGAACTCTTTCTCTATCTGTTCAGATTTCTTACTTTTATTATGATTTTACTTAATTCAGCAGTTTTTTCTAACTTCAGAGACCAATCACAAGCAGTTGCTAAGTGTTTAATAATCAACATTCACTGCTGTTTTGTCTCAAGTATTGTTTCTATTCATAATCTTTCTCTAAGCCTTTCTTTTTATTGTAGCTTACCTAGAATCTATTGATTTTACAGAATTCAATGGGCTGAACCCAACTCATAATAAAAGGATAGAAAATGACCCATTGTTTTATCTTCTGGAGGTATAATACTTGCAGAACTACTAGACAAGTAAAATAAGGCAATTTTAGAACCATTTAAAGATTTTTTTGTCTGGGTCATACATATCTTGCCCAAGGTTATTCCTCTAGAAATCATCTTGTTTTTATACAAATTTATGATGGGTGATGATTTAAAATATATACAGTCTACCCTTTGTGTCTAGCCAGTCCTATTTCTATTAAACCTTTGTTTCAACCTTTCTGCATGTTCTTCCTGTTACCTGCTATAAAATTGCTAGGTAGCAATGGCTGGATGAATTATTGCTGACCGATTTCAATAGTATTTTGCTTATAAAATTAACTTGTTTGCCCTGTTACTTGCATGTTTAGCTACTCTATAGTTGGCTGTTTCCTTTTCCCAAGTATTGATACTTGATTTCAAGTTGAGTGAGTGCAGCACCTTGCAATAAATGAAAAGCTGCCAAGAGGAAATGTGGTTTCTAGTGGTGATCTTGTCATCAGTAGATCACAGACCAAGGCATGGTTTGCATTTGGTGTAAAGGGCCAGAGGGCAGGAGAAGGATTTGGCACTGATCTGCAAACTTACGAAGTAAAGACCTAACTAAGAGAGAAAATGAGGCAGAAAGCAGTTGTGCATGTTTCTCTTCTGTGCAGCACTTCTTGGGTGTCTGACATTATTGGTGTTGTCCTTGTTCTTTCTCTATATGTTTGCTATAGTTGCTTGATGAACCAAATTATGTTTTATATATTTTATCAAAAAGGCAAAGGAGAGAAGATAATTAGCTCTGTTTTTCCTGTGTAATCCAGCAAACAAGGTACCACATAGTACCAGTGATCAAAAAAGGTTTTGATGAAGGGAAGAAGCAATTTTAAGAAAACTATTTTGCAAGTAAATGCAGAAGGTCAGACTCTGCAGGTGAGAAAATTGTAGCTTTTCCCTGCTGAAAGCAGAGGGAAAGCTGATCCTCCTATCATGGCTTGGGAAATATTGCTGTGCTGGAGCGTGCCTTCGTAGTTGGCTGGTGTACTGAGAGCTCCCCCTCCTGTTTCATTCTACATCTAAGTGCTTGCAGATCTACCACCTCTAACTCACAAATTTCTGATTTCTTTCATTTATTCTGTAGTATGATATACCAGCGCAGAGAACACTTTTCAGTGCCAGTGGATTTCTACAAGCTTAAGTTGTAAGCCCAACCTAAGACGGTGGGGAGGAGGGGATGCTGCCCAAAACGGTCAGGTACTATTCCACATACAACCATAGTTTTCCCACATTTGACTTTAGGTTTATAGCATTAACTTTTCTATTTCTGTTTTGTAACTGTAAGATGAGGACCATAAAATTTCATCCTCTGAGGAATTTAATAAAAAAAAGTTGACAATTTTATTTTTCAGGTTAAAAAAAAAAAATAAAAATTCTTGGATGACCAGATTTAAGAAATTTCCCCAGCTCAGATTCAAGAAGGAGCACTATGGAACCCCATGGAAAAGCAATCTGTATTGAGGAGGAGCAAACTGTGACTATGAGGGAAAGTACATTGAAAGGGATTTGATACATGCTGTTGGAAATTTTCTGTTGTTACCATGTCCACAATATAGAAACTGAATTGTCTGAGCTACAGGTAATGATACAGAATGACATCTATTTTGTGGAAAGCTGCTCAATTTTGTAAACAAAAATAAAATGTATCCACAGCCACCTAAGACAGAGAGATGATCTTTTCTGCAGACTTTATTTCAAGAATGAGCAATAGTATTTTCCATGAGGCTTAATACTGATATCGTATAGGCTCTTAATTCACAGTATGGAAGACCATAGTTGGTGTGTGCATCCTTTGTAATGGCTTGATTTCACCGGGTACCTCACAGCAAATGAACAACTGCAAGGAGCCTGAAAGGTTGCTAAAGGAGAAGAATTCCTATCAGTCATATCAGTAATTTTTCATTTCCTTGAAGCAAAAGAAGATTCTGGAAATAACCTGCTAGTAAAGAGAAGTGATGAAAGAAAGACACTTGCTTTTGTGGAACAGTGTTCACTTTTGTGTAAGAAATGAGGGTTATGCAGTTTGAATGTCAATAGAAGGAAAATCAAGATTAAATATCTCCAAGCATATGTAACACTCACATTACTTGTGGTAAGACAGCATAAAAATTTACGAAATTTTGAAGTGGTTCATCCAACAGAAAAGAATTTTGTATCTCTTTGTGACAAAAAAAAAAAAAATCAGAAAATTTAAAAAAAGTGTCTGCAGAGGTACCAGTGCTTATGATGGTTTTATTTGTACAGGCAGAATAAAGCTCCAACCATTAGTTAATACAATATTTAGACATTGTCCTTTAAAGCTAAAAGTTAGATTGCTATAAAGAATATTCTGTATCATTTGATAGGACATTTCACCATTTCTCCTTTCTTCCCTTTTGTATTTTACTTTCTGGTGTCCGTTTACCTTTTCCTTTTATTCATAAAGATCCCTTTGCCTGCTTTTCACTGCTTTCCTGCTCTTTTGCATCCTCCCTCCAGGTTTGTCTTCTGAATTAAATACTTCTATTTTGTTTCCTCACAGTAAACACATTTATCAAAAGAAAACTGACATGAGGCAGGAGGATGGAGGCTAGAGTCATATAATCTTCCCTCTCTGTGGAAGGTACTGAAGAAAGTGCAGAAGAATGAATTTCCAAAAATTATAAGTAGGGTTCGTGATGTTCCAGATTGTCTGATGGTTCATTTTTCAAGCATTTTTGCAAACTTTTTTTCCCTGTTGAAGTTCTTCTGGAAAACAACTGAATTAGTTCCTCTCTGTGAGTGTGAAGACAAGCTTTTCTCAGTGAATCCATGTAAAAAAAGGAAGGAGTCAAGGGTTTTGTTTCTTTCTTTTTATATTTAATTTCCAAACAGGCTCTGCTTTTCCTGTTCACCCTTGCTGTACTGCCTTTCATAGCCTTGCAGGAGATTGAGGCAACCTTTTGAAAGCTGTGGGAATGGGTGGGTTGTAAAACAAGTTCTGGTGACATGAGAACTCAGCAAATCATCATCTGAGAGCTGAGACTGGGTGCCTTCTAACCAGCACCGATGTCTGGAAGGAAGCAGGGCCTCAGGAAGGATATGGTGATGCTGGGGCTTGCAAAGCACATTGTGTCTAGAACTGCAATTGAGACATTTCATTGCTTTAAGATTGTGTTTCGGTTTTGTCTGTAGAAAGAAAGATTATACTTGCTTTAGGACTGATACTTCAGGCTTGATAGCCCATGTGTGTTTCTGACTCCTTCATTGCTGTCAAGTAAATATGATGCCAGTGCCTCCCAGGAGCTGGGGACCCTAAAGTCTCAGACTCTTATGAATGAAAAATCTGCTTTAAAACAACTCTATTTAAAGATAGTTACACTAGTGGATCTCACAGAAGAAAAGGTGATTACATCCTCTGAATTGTCTGGCTTTTAGGTATGTTTCCTAGAGGAAGTGCTAGTACATGAACTACTACTCTACTTTTTTGTAGTTCACCTTTTTCCTAGAACTGCAGCCTACCCACAGGCATCACCAGCTCACACACAAAAAGGAGTGTTTCTGGACTCCACTGCTGCAAGATTGCATAATTGCTTATGCAATCTAGACTGTGAGGACAGGAGGATAAGACTCCTTCATTGTCATTGTGAGTAGGATATGCAGAGGAGTTATGGCTAAATAGCAGCAGCCAATGAAGCATCTGTATTTGGCTGGCCATTCAAATGGATGAAAAGGAGGATTTTTTTCCCTACTTCATTAACGTAAGCAATTATGTGTTGTCTCTGCTGGTTGCTATGTGCAGATTACAGATAACATAGGGCAGAAAACTGTGGGAAGAAGGTAAGCAACTGTGTGAAACAGAGGGAGAATTATATTGGAAGGTAGCTTTGGGAGGATGAGAAAGAGGAAAGGGAAAAAGATCATTACCCTCAAGGTTAAAGAGCAATTCAAGACCTCTTCCTATCAACCATGATTAGGATGGTAGGGGGATGCTCTTATTTATTGCTGTTAATTTGTCTGCTTTTTTTCTGGTACATAATAATTCTCCATGCTGTTGGATACAGACTAGGAAATAAACATCCCCTATGGTTTTAAAAGCCATAATGCATGCGATGTAACAATGATTTCTTGTCAACTTTATGTTTTTTCATTTAAGTCAAATGACTAAAAACACTGACCCTGGTCATGCTGACCCTGACTCCTGGTTTCTGACTTTATGCTTACTGATATGAGTTCCAGTGTGATGGACCAGCCCCAGCCGTGTTTCACAGGGTATGGTAACAGTACATACTGACTCAATAATTTCCTTAAGCAATAGTCTCATTTGCTTTCTAAAAACTTTAAATTTGTAACATAGATTTGCATACATTTTACAAGAAATATTTTATATTTTCATTTTTATTCTTGCAATTAGTCAGTCTAAAAGTGTGCTTAGTTACTTTAAAAGTATCCCAAGTCACTTTCAGCAATCCCAAACATATACGGATTAGCAGGACAATCTCTGTGTTACTCAAATGGAAATACTTCATATTGAGAGTAAGGAATGACAGTATTAAGGCAGTTCAGTTAATATTTGACTACTGTCTATGTTTTTTAGCTGTAATTTTTTCTTGTCATGCTGCTGTAAATCTGGGTAGGCATATATACTTTTTCAAAAATAAAAATAACATTTTAAAATCTCTAAATTAAGCATCTAAAACTGAAAATGTCAGGCACTTGTTATGTATTCTATTTTACTTTCCCAATTCAATTCACAGCAAAAGAAAAAAAATTGAACAGCTTTATTAATAAATTCCATAGTATTTTCCTGTATTATGGGAACAATATACATTTCTAAGAGCTCCATGCATCTGAAATTTGTCTCGGTGTGGCCCATTTATTTTAATTCGGGTCTGTCAGTAGAAAAAAAGAAGTAATTAAACTTGTGACTAGCATGGAGAAACATTTTACATCCTAACACTGTAGCTTGATACCCAGTAGTTTCTTTATATTTCTTCCAGTTGTCAGATCAAAGTCTCCCAAGTGCTAGAACTCAGCCGTGCTTTGATTAATTACTTCACACAATGAATTTGCAAATTATATTTCTGAAGTGATTTATGTACTTTTTAACTTCAGTTACACACATCCTCCCCCCATTTTGTTTGTGTTGGGTTGGGGTTTTTTTCCTTTCTGTTCTGATAGTACTCACTAATGTAGTCAGGCCACACCTTAGAAAAATATTCTTGAAAAATAACTCATGCTATTTTATGCTTAACAAATTGGTATAAAGAGAGGTTTCCAGTAAAGAATGAAAACTTACCTGAACTGTGCAATTAAACAGAACTATAAGAATCACTTAAATTGCAGTCACCCACCAGCACTCCTAGTCAGGACTTCAGCCTCAGTGCTTTCTACAAATACATGAAGTCCCTCCCTAAAAATTCCCAGCTGCTGGTTTTGTCTAGGCTGGGGTTTTGTTCAAGATAGGGCTATTGGAATAGCTGAGCTAAGGCAACCTTTAAAATACATGTTCAAACCAAACATTTGGTTACTGTAGTTAGACACTGGTAAATAGTATTTAGGGAAGTAATAACTTGCCTGCGCCAGTGATGTGCTTGTCTGGGCAAAGTTTAATATTTACATTTCTTTTTTCCTTGTACAATCTCACATGGCATACTGCTGCTCATGTTCAAACCATTTGCATTACATAGTGGTGTCTAATCTCTGTTTGGTGGTATTGTGTTTATATGTATAAATATATATATAAATATGCCTCTCCTAAGACTTGATCTGGCAAGCTTCTTTAGGAGCGCTATGGGCCTATTTCTCTCATTACTCCTATCTGATATCCTTAGCTCTGAATGTTTGAATACGGCCCCTTTTGTATCCTTTAGAAGTAATTTTCATCTAGATGCTGTTTTGTTCTTTACTCTGGTATGAACTGAACTAGGACGTGGGTGAACCAGAAGGGTCCTGATTGCAGATGTGTGACTGGGATACTGTCCCAAATACTTCTGTTCCTTCCAACAGCTGCAAAGTAATTGTTTTGTCCACCCATATAGGAAACTGCACAGAGTGAAATGGGCTGAAGTCTTGCAGATTGAAAGTATTCACTCACTCCCTGCCTTCCCTTTAAAGTAGGCTAATAGCTTTCTGTCAGAGAAAACCCAGCTATGGCTTGGGGGAGAGTTCACTTTGAAGGCACCTCATTATATGGAAAATAGACAAGATTTCAATAAACTTGGTCATTTGACACTCCTGGCAAGATTTTCACTCTCAAACACCTGAAATGCCTTCATATCATGCCCCAGGACCTGTAAAAACTTCCTTTGTATGTGACATACAGCTGTTGTGCTGGTGGGCAGAATTGTTGATCTCACAATATTTTAAACTCTGAACTGGGAAAAAAAAAAACATGCACACAAAAAATTCTGTGTTCTAAGGCCACCAAAATGCAGTGGAAGGGAGACCCATAGGAAGTGCCATGCAGTGTGGATGAGGCCAGTCTACTGTAGATGGGGACAGCCAAGAAATGTATGTGAAGGCACACTGCAGCACCTGCTCAGGGGTGAATGATTGTTCCCTGGGACAGATGCATTTAGCCATGTAGGTATAACAAACTGTCTAGCTCAGAGTCGTGTCTCCAATGACAGCTTGAGGTGGAGGAATGAGGTGTATGCATTTTAATAAAATTTGGAGTGATACCTCTCCTTGTATGTGTTCCCTGTCCTAGTTTGCTTGTGCTTTCTACCTTCAATTTTAAATAGACCTATCACTTCTGGGGCTGACCTTGGACATTCGTAGAGACAGGTCTATTTCTCTTTGTTAGGAAATATTTTTCAGATAAATTATACTGGTCTTTCTGAAACTTTGTGATATCCTAAAATTCTGTAGGAGTTTTAGAAGACTGAAATCTTTTATGACTCCTGTAAATATAGTTTCCTATTACATTGATATTTTTTCTACTGAAATGTTAATTTCACCTAAAAAATTAACTTGGACAACCAATAAGGAGGGTACATGTATACCTTTACAGACTGATTAATTTGCTCACTAAAACATAAGCAGAAGAATTGTAGTTTCTTTAGTTTAAGTCTTGTCATTGCCTTATTTAATACTGTGCTCATGGCACTTCATTTTAACAGTAACATGGGCTCAGCCTTTGCACAGCTGCACAGTCACTGTAACATAGGGCACAGCATTGCCTCCATTTTTGAAAACGCAAACCCAGCTGACTCAGACCAAATGCCCACGGTCATAAAAACAACCCTAGAAGTGCAATACATTTCTCATGACTCTCCTGAAAGGTACAAAAAATATGGAACATGAGATTGTTTCTATTTCTAGGCCCAAAATCAAGAAATAAGAATGACAGCAAGCTGAGTGACAGCTTTACATGAAATAATAGAGTTATAGGAGGGATCCTCAAAAAAAGAATAGGTTGATTTTTACATAGAGGCCATTATGAAAATTCTTTGTGAAAAGAAAATTAGTGTCTCCGTTTCTGGGTTGAGAGTTGAGAAACCAGTGGAGCTAGCATAGTAATAAGGCATTTTAGAATGTCTATTATTAGGATATCAATGCATCTTGTGTATTGAAGCAACAAATCCAAGTGTGAAGTTCTTCAGACATGTAACAAGTATCTCAAAAGACTGCTATCGTAGAATAAATCAAATAATACATTCCTGGAAGGACCTCATGTTTCTTAAAGTAGGATTTATACATTCTGTGTTTGGGTTTTTTGCCATATTTATATGTATCTGTGATAACAGGGGGGTTGGAACTAGGTGATCGTAAGGTACTTTTCAACCCTAACTATTCTATGATTCTGTGATCTTTGTAAAGGCTCTGCTGGAATACTTGAAATATGCTTCCTTATAAATAAAAATTAAAAGGTTAAAAATAAATTATTTCTTTGCATCTGTTATTACCTTTGTGTGTGTAAATTCCTCTCTTGCTTGTCAAATACTGTCAAATCTACCTAAACATACTTTGTTTTCTCACCCTAGTACCCCCAATAGCTTGGTAGACATTTTGCAGTAGTTTAGCACTTTGTATGTTTTGTATAATTTATGTTATTATCCCCTTTCAGTTTGTATGTTCCTTCTTAATAAAGGAAATATGTATAATAAATGAAGGAAAAAAAAAACCTTGAAACAATGAGAATATACTACCACCCAAATCTTCATGTATAATTCATAGTGATGTTTGATCTAGAAAAATAAAATAACAGTGGCAGAAAAAACATTCCTATGGCCTATCACATTACAGTGAGGAATTCTTATTGCTTGCATCACCATTGGCACTGACATTAAGACTTGGATTCAAAGAATACATGTCCTCAGTCTTACCAGTTACAGTTCTTTTCCTGCCAAAGAGGTGTTAGCTCAACTTTTACACATCCTGGTTTGTCTCATGGCTGTAGCATGTAAGGTTACATGCACGCCTAAACCTCTGAGGATTGATTTTTTGATGGTGAGAATGTCTTCTGAAAATTTTCAGCATGTAAAATTAAGTTCTCAAATCAATCTCCTCCAAACTGGGGTGAGTTAAACCCAAATTAGAGCTAGCTATCTCCGACATGTATTTATAATCTGTTGAATTAATAGATGTTTATTCTCCTTCAATAAAATTTTCTTTTACATTCCTATCAGAAGAAAGTCTGTTGGGATGCCTGTTATCCTAGATTGGTTTATTTACTTATTTACTTATTCAAACTAGATAATATTTCTTTTCAAACACTGCCTACTTTTGTTGTTGTTGTTGTTGTTGTTTTTTAGCTTGGCCTTTCATATGTTTTCCTTCCCCAGTACCTTCCTAACACTCCTGTCTTTGGGGGTTGCCACCTGATTGTAGGAGCCAGTAAGTAGGATGGAGAATTAAGACTAGTTTCTTTATTTCAGTAGCAATATCCAAACAAGGAGCAGCTTCCACACTTTTGCCAGGACAGCTATTGAACCCAACATGTATGAGAAATCATCTGGTTTTATGCACAGGGACTCTCAATTGGTTTAAATTGGCTCAGTGCTGCTGAATGACTCTGTGCTGATTTAGGCAAGCTGAGGATTTGGCTGTTCTTATCTGAAAGAAGAAAACAGATTTAAAACTCAAAAACACGAGTACACACTTATTTGTGCTGAACATGTTTTTTTTATAATGAGTTTCTAAAATTCTGGAGAAAGGTCTGTGGGCTGTCTCCCCCCCCTTCCCCCTCCCAGCCTTAAGTGCACTTGAATACTGGCAGAAAAAGTTTCAGGCCGTGACGGAGGAAGCAACTTACTGACAAAACAACTCTTCTCTGAAGGACCAGAGAAAATAACCCTGGAACATCTGGTTTCCGTTTAGACCGGAAGCACAGAAAAGTTGCCTTCCACTTAATTTTGGCATTTAGGATATGCAAGAGTCTATTTTTGTCTCATTTCCAAAAGAAGTGAAGCTGCTGTCACCATGTTGCCTGTCACTCTGCTCACTCATTTTTCTTTTCTTAATAACTCAGGAATCCACTGGCCAACTTCCAAATCAGATGGAGAGGTAGGTGTATGAAAGATGCAGACTTCTCACAATGGTTCTCAAAAATAGCAGCTAAGTAGAGAACCTGCTTAATGCCCTCAGTGAGGAGAAAGGATGGGGCATGAACTCAGGCAAAGATCATAGAACTTGGGACAAGTATGTTATGAATGGCTTAACTGAAGAGGAAGGGGGAAAAAGGCAAAGGAAAACAAAATCTTCCTAGTCATTGTCATTTTTTTTTTAAAGAGATCAAGAAACCTACACATGATTTAAGAGCCTTGGGTGGCATGGTTTAGTGTGAGGCATCCCTGCCCATGGCAGGGGGGTTGGAGCTAGCTGATCTTAAGGTCCTTTCCAACCCTAACTATTCTATGATTCTATGTTACTCATAGCTGAGGGGCTGGTCCTCTGGTGTCTAATAAGGAACAAACAGTGACTCAAGTTTTTGCCACAGTTAGGATGTGTAATTATCCTTCTGTTTCACAGACTACCCAGTATATAAAAAGTATATATAAAAATTAAATTGCTGCTTTATTCTAATCCAGTTAGAAAAGAACCACATGATACAAATCTGTTGTAAACTAGATTTTTAGGGGTTGGGAGTCTCACATTAGATCAAGAGGTAGGTGTGGGTCAAAATCAGAGGAGTTCTGTCCATTTGTGTGCTTACAATCTTGCTTCTTTAATCTTGCTGTATAATCTGATGTAGCATGCGGTTTGGCTTCCATTTCCTCTTTCATGTTAAGTTATTAATCCTCTTGTAATAATAGCTTCAAATTCTGGGCAAATCTGGGGACAAGACACTTTTCCCTTTTTTTGGGGTCCTGTTTCCCTACACATTCTCTGCAGTTTTGTGGACACAGCTAGCTTTTTCCTTGCTGTCCCTACTGTTTTGTTCCTCCCATGCATTGCTCCCTGTTGCTCTGTTACAATTGTTTATGAGGCAGAGCAAGCACTAGACTAGGCTAAAAGAAAAATAACTTTTATGAGGGTTTTGGTTTCCTATTTATTTTAAACCTGGATGGTTCTTTGACCTGATTCACTCTTCCCATCTAAAGCAACAGACTGAAGGCAGCTTTACTGTGGGGAAGTAAAGAGACATTTAAGTCAGCCCTGCTTCTGAGAGGGATGTAATCACAGTGCTAAGAGGAGGACACCAAGCACTGTGTACCTGCACTTGTTGAATTTATTGAGAAATTTACTGTGAAATTTATCCTTTCCTGTGGTGGACAGTCTTAATCTGGCCTTTATTGTACAAATGCCTCAGATTGGGAAAATGTTTATAAAACACTGAGCAAACTGTGAATGCTCAGAAGATAATTGCAATTATTTTCTCCATTATCTGTTAAACTTTAAGCTCCTCCATGATATCTATTTTGGTATTCATGAATAAAATAAGATGGGAGGAATGAATGAAATTTCCTGTGTATGGATACTAAACACCTGCTTTGAAGGAAGGCCTTTACATTCATATCCTGTCCCTTCTGTAAAACACTCCCCATGGTATACCATTATGTTAAACCAATAAAGAGGAAAATGGTATTCCACACACATGTGAGCTAATAACAACCGGCATGCAGAACATAAACACCACAGTGGGTCACACTAAGGCAGACTGGCAAGCTGCTGTGCTAGCTTAGTTTCCAAATGCCTGAAGATAATTGCCCCAGTATATTCATGCAAAACTTGTAAAGAAAAAAATAAGATTATCCCAAGCATGAAACTAGCTGCAAAATTACTCAGCAGTGTTATTGAAAGCTCATTTTACCTGCTGTGATATTTAGCTAATATGATTAGCAACATTAAGATGAAGACTTCTGCTATAGTTTGGAAATAGACCCCAACCTGCCTATCACGGTGGGAAATTTGTTTTGTTCTGCAACATAACAGCATCTCCTACCTGCATGAAATCTCTTAAACATCTACCTCTACTTTCTTATATCACTAGTGTCAAATTCAGTACTGATTCATGAGTAATATGTAGTTTGGAACTTCCACACTCAGTGAGAATGGTACAAATAGTAACAGAAGCATTATTTCAATAGTTAATCACATGAGGCAAAGTTGAGAATCTTTTAAACGTGATTTACAGTAGATTTGTATGCACAAAACATTTTCACACTGAGCTCATTTTTAGACTTTTGCATAGGTGAAGTCTATTCTATTTATATGGGTATATAAGAAGTTAAAATGCTGATGCTTATTTTTAATAAGATACAAAACAAGTTTTCCTTTTTCTTGAAACTATTTCCTTATACTTCAGTCTTCACTGATCATACCATCTTCATGCTTAATTTGGTAATTACACCTCCCTCTTTCTTATAAAGTCTATGATAATCTTGATGTCTGTAATAAAGTAATATCATGTAACTATAGCACCTGGGGCCTGCAGCTTTAACGAAGACCTCATGTGGTGAGGTCTTTAAAAAAAAGCACAGAACTGGAAATTAGTTTTCCTTTTTCACAGTTTCTCAAGAGAATACATTGTAAGAGAAGGGATAACAGATAATACACACTTACAGGGAGACTGAAAGAGAACAATGATATCAAATATGGCATGTATATATAAAGATCAGACTCTGAATGAGGCAGTGTCCACTTTGATAATTTAAATACTACAGCATCTGCTAACCTGAAGATCATAGGGTTAAAACACCTTTGGCAAAGTATATTAGAAATTGACCATATAACAGGTGAAAGCTTGTGAATTTAGTCCATGGAAGGCAGGAACTTCACAAGACTATTGATATGTTTGTAGGAAATGTAATAAGTGTGAAGGAATAGTTCAACTAAGGCATCCAAACACTTTGGTGGAAATGAGGTCACAGGCTTCTTGTACAAAAGCATGTAGAATATCTGGCATCTTGGAAGAGAGGGGAGGAGCTACCTGGTGTCACTAAATAGACGTAATTCTGCCTAAGTCTAACCAGTTGGAAGGCTGCGGATAAGTTTCAAATCTCACTCACTGTTTTTCTCACTTACAGTTTCTAAAGATGCTCCTGTTCAGGCATAATCTGCAGCCCAGAATGCAAGCTCTGTCCAGGAGGTAGGAACATGCTGCATTTTAAAAAGGAGTGGTGCATTTGTGTCTGTTGGTTTTCATAGAGCTTTACCACCTCCCTCTGTGCCTGTGTGTGTATATACACATATATAACTAGACCTTTGGTTCTAGGGACTAGAATTCAGGCCTCTCTTTTCAAACCAAGTGCTCCAACTATGAAGTTCCAACAGACTTTCATCTGTTCTTTCCTTTCATAGAGCCACAGAATCATAGAAAAACTGAGTTTAAAAGGGACTTCCTGAGGTGATCATCTCCAGTCCCCAGCACAAAGCAGGGTTTGCTAAGTCAGGTTGCTTGGAACTTACCCAGCAAATTATATATGCCTCCAAAGGCAGG